GAGCTGTCTTGATGCAGCCGGCTTTATCTTCAAATTATGCTGACTTCCCTCCAAATTAAAGTGGAAAGTTTGATCTTCAGGGAGTTTTAATTATTGATATTTTAATCTCCAGGAATATGGAAAGTAACAAACTGGAATAAAACCAAGGGCGGCCTGGTAGTGGTTCCCAAGTGTGTGAAGTCAGAACTGCCATCTGACCGACGTAATCTTCCCCATGTAGAGCCACCCCTCCCGCTATGCTCCCACCCTTCTCTGGATGAGTGGCATTGCTGCCCACACATGCCCCCCTGGCCGTGGCTCTAGGAGTCACAGCAGATGACAGCCCCAGCGCCCTGGCAAACTCCAATCACCTCTCCAGTCAAGTCACTGGATCTTTCTCCTGCACTTAGGCTGCTGACCTTTCCTCCTTCCTGGGACCCCCACCCCGCCAGCCAGGGCCCCTCCTCTCCCATCGCGCTGTGCCACCCTCCCCCCACATGTCATTGTTCTGACACGTGTGCGGCTGTGCTGCTCATGAGACTCTCAGATCCACGAAGTCAGGGCTGTGGCCCTCCTGGTCACGAACGCCCAGCTCTGCGGGGCCGGGAGGACAGGTAACCTTCCTCGTTACTGCCGCGTGGTGATGCCGTCCTGGGCACCCTGCGCCAATCAGCTTGTTGAATCCTCACAACTCCAGGAAGGGAGCACTACGGTCTGCCTACTCCAGAGAAGGACACGGGTGCTATGGTCCTGCTCCTCCATCCCCAGGACGGAGGCCAGCGGATGTCTGGGCCACCGACTTCAAACTCGACTCAGTCTGACTCGGAAGCTCCGTCCTCCATCACCAGGCCTCTGGGTGCCGTGGAAACCCAGTCCAGGCCGGTCCCTCCGAGGCCTTCACACTCCCTGCCCTGGGGCACCTCTCAACAGTCAGTGATGCCCTGCTCTCCCGTCCTCAGCTCATCTCCTCCCCAGGCAGGTGCTCTCCTATGACCTGACCCCTACGTGCCGGCAAGTCCAAATCTCTCTGCAATTGCCAGCTGCCCATCAGCACGATGTGTCCATACCCCACTGTTCAGATTCTACGTGTCCAAATAGAAGCCGTCTCCTCGCCAACCCTAAACCCGCTCCTTCTCTTAAATTCATCAGATGGTGGCCTCTCTGCCCCTCCCAGGGCCCAACCAGGGAACTGCCGAAATCAACCTCCAGCCTTCCATTCCCCTCAGCAGTAGAGAATGATGTGTGCTAACACACAGGTTCTGAAGAACACAATTCTAGTCACAAGTGCAACAAAAATACAACAGGAATAACTTTACCAAAAGTGTAACACTCGACCCGGAAGAGTCAAAACAACTTGAGAAAGAACAAAGTTGGAGGATGTACACTTCTTGTTTTCGAAACTTAAACACTTATATAATATGATTCATTGATTTTTTGATAGAGGTACTAAGGCAATTCAGTTCTGGAAAGCAATGTCTTTTAAACTTGGTTCTGAGACCACTGAACATGCATATCAACTTAGATCCTTCCCTCAGACCTTACACAGTAATAATTTGACAAGGCTCATAGATCTAAATATAAGAGCTAAACTGTAAAACTTCTGAAATAAGACACGGGAGAAAAATCATTTGTCACTTTGGGTTAGGCAGAGAGATACAATACTAAAAGCAAGATCCATAGAGAAAAAAACAATAAACTGGACTTCATTAAAATTAAAAACATTCATACTTCAAAAGACATCATTAAGAAACTGAAAAGACATGTCACAGACTGGGAGAAAATATTTGCAAATCTTATGTCTTACAAAGGACTTGTACCCAGAGTATTTTAAGAATGCTTACTTTTAAAGAATAAGAAAACCCAATTAAACAAGTGAGCAAAAGATATGACTAGAGATTTCACCAAAGAATACACACAAATCAGTCATAAAAACATGAAGAGATGCTCAACATCATTAGCCATTTGAGAAATGCAAATCAAAGCCACAATGAGATATCACTTCATACCCACTGGAATGGCTTTAACCAGAAATATAAAACAACAAGCATCGGTGAGGACGTGGAGAAATCAGACCCCTCATACATTGCTGGTGGGAAGGTAAATGATATAGATATGATGGAAAAGAGTGTGGCAGCTTCTTAAAAAGTTAAACACAAGCTTATCATAAAAGCTAGCAACATCACACCTAAATACGTACCCAAGGAAAATGAAAACAAGGCCCCGCAAACTTGACACAAACGTGTGAAAATAATCCAAATGTCTATCAACTGGTGACTTGAGGAACAAAATGTGATAGTCATACAACAGAATCCTATTCAGCAATAAAGAAAGTGGATATTGACACTTGCTACCCATGGATGAACCTCAAAAAGCAAAAGAAGCCAGATGCAAAAAACCCCAAATATTGCTTGATTCCATTTCTATGAAAGGTCCAGAAAAGGCAAATCAGAAAGATAGATGGTGGATTAACAGTTGCCTGAAGCTGTGGGTGGGAATGGGTCCTGCAAATGGGGAAAAGAGAGTTTCTGAGGTAATGGAAATGTTTTAAGATTGGTTTGCTATGATGGTTGCACAACTCTGTAAGCTTACTAAAAAAAAATCACTGATGTGTATACTTAAATGGGTGAATTTTATGGTAGGTTAAGTAATACTTTCTTAAAATTGTCAGTGAGGGAATGGAAGTTCTAGACTCAGATTCAAGTCCTGCCTGGGTCTCTTTTCCTACCAGCTGCATAACTTGGGGCAAATCACTTCAACTCCTGGGCCTTAAGTTTTCTCATATGTAAACTGGGAATTAAGGTCATGCACTTCAGTTATTGTGAGAATTGAGTTAATACAGGTAATATGCCTAGCACAATGCCAGACACACAGCGAGCATTCAGCAATGTTAGCTATTATCCTTAATTGTTATGATTATATTCAATCGATTATCAAGTTTCGCCGATTTTTACTTGGTAAATAGTTCTCAAGTTCATCACCTTTTCTTGTTCATTTCTCCCCTGGTGCTGAGATCTGTACCACCTTTTAGAAATAACACCTGCTGCAACTGTCCAAACTTACCCCAGGCCTGTACCCCTACATCTGCCTCCATAGGGCACACAGGTCCCCAGGACAGGTCTCTGCAGACTTTCCCACCCTATCCCAGACACACACACACACACACACACACACACACACACACACACACACACACGCGCGCGCGCGCACGCGCGCCATGAGGTTGCTCGTCCATCCCTTCTCTCCAAACGCCCCTCCCCCTTCCCTTCAGTCCGTCTACTCTGAGCACTCTCCCGCATAGGCCCTCCCAGACCCTCCAGCACTGGGCTCTTCTGCGCCCACAGTGGTCACCTGTACACGTCCCATCGCCAACATTGAACGGAGACACAGACTATAAAACGCACCTCCTATCCTGAAGTATGAACCCAGCACAGTCCCAAGGCAACTGTACACCGTAGGGGCTCAATGAGATGCTGCCTGGTCAGGTGTGGACACCAGAGTGCAGCACATTCTCGGCTTCTCCACGGGCTTCCTGACAGCTTGGGCTTCTTTTCAGCAGGTCACTTAAGGAAAGTGACAGAAGTTATCCAGGAAAACGGAAATCCTCGTAAGGCTCGACCTATCTGGAAGAACTGCTGTAAGAGGTGAAGAGAGGAAGCACAGGGTCTGGCCTTGGGCTGAAGTCACTGCCACTTTTCACCACTGCCAGCAGTTCATCAGCAACACGAGACGGCTGGGGATGTTCATCTTCCCAGTCAGAATTTTCCCAACTTACCCGAAATCAGTTTCGAAAGTCTGAAACGGGTCTGTTAAGAATTTTTGAGACAGCTCACAGTGGGAATATACAATTGATTAAAAAAAAAAAATTCCCCAATTAGTTTTAACGAGCAGCAGGGGTCAAGATCCACTCCTATGAAGTCTGTTATTTTTTCCCTCTATTTTTCAGGATTCTTACTGATAAAATGGTGGCAGTTATGCTTAGATTTATCGGTAACTGAAACCCTTCTGAGAGTACAATTCACAAACAAATATTAAATGGAATCCTTTCTTCCTGTTCTCAACACCTTAGGTCATTGTAAAAGTTAAGCCTGACTTATTAAAACTATCTGATCGCTAAGTATTAATGTTAGCATTAGAAATGAAATTTAAAATCCATTAAAGGACAATTAAAGAAACAGACTGCCAAAACCAATCTTAAATAACCCACAATCAAGAACATCTGAAAACAAAGGCGTGACTCTAAAAGATAACTGAGAAGTAATAGTATTTCCAAAAGATTAAGCTGTAGAGCCTGTGTGAATAAAGCCCTATTTGTGGACCTGGAATGTTTTTCTCTAATCATAAAAAAAGTAAAGAAAAGAGATCTTAGCAAAATATTGACGAGGCATCATTTTTGTGCTTATGGTGTAACGAGCCCTGAGACAAAGATCGGAAATGATTACAAATATAAAGTGACACTCACTGTGACATAACACTTAGTATCAGAATCTTCTTAAAATGAAAAAAAGTTAAAACAATCATATCACATCCTGTAAACATCTATTTTTCTTCTTTGGAGATGTCCCACTGACTGAATCTCTCTTCCTTCCTTAGAGAGACATTCTGTCATTGATGGTGAAGGGGATCAGGACCCGCCACCCCAAAGCATGCCACTTTGGGGGTACGAATGATTTCTGAGCTGAAGTTATCTGAGTCCCTGAAATCCTTTACCTGCCTAAAAGCAGAGCCTTCCCAAAGAATGCAATTGTCATAAATCCACTCCCCAGGCAACTTCATAATCTCCTCTTCTGACACCCCACTCAGCCCCCCAGGACAAATGATCATTTCTCCTATCTGCTTTGCTAACGGCCCATTTATTTTCTAGAAAGTCATTTGCTTTTAAATGCCTTCTTCCCCATCCCTTTCCCCAACTAAGCTGGGTGGAGAAAGCTTAGTTGGGGAAAGCTAACCCTCCCTTGGAGCAACTGGATACCACGTGAAGGCGGGCCACACATGTTAATGACCTTCTGGTTGCCTTTCTCCAGCTTGTCTGTCCTTTATCAGCCCAATCTACAAGGTCTGGACGGAGAACCTAGAGGGCAGGAGGAGAGTAATTCTGTTCCTCCCCTGGATGTCTGGTTTGACAGCAGAGACATCTGTCGGCTCCCAAAGCTGTCTTCTGTTTTATACGTCCTGGAAACAACATAAGCACCTGGAAGAGTTTAAGTTTTAAAACTCTTTGAGACACTAGGTCTAGTTTCTTTAATTTTTCAAACTATTAAAATATATAAACTATATCAAAGTGCTTACTGTGTTAAGCAAAACTGCTATGAAGAAAAGACTTAATGGTGGTAAAATATTTACCTCGAAGATATCTAGAGAAAAAAATGAATATCCTTACCAGATTTTTTCTAAATATACTTAATCTCCTATATGAATATTATTCCATCTTTTAACATTTCATTATTTATCTTTTATTAAAAGATAAATTTGAAAAGAGTAAAACTGGATGGTGGCAAAATAAGTTCAAATTAAATTTTCCTACTTGAAAAACCAACAGCTACATTTCACAATGGGGGAAAACTGAAAATAATAATACCTTATTGCTATTAAAAGGGCTTCCCTTGTGGCTCAGCTGGTAAAGAAACCACCTGCAATGTGGGAGACCTGGTTCAATCCCTGGGTTGGGAAGATCCCCTGGAAAAGGGAAAGGCTAACCTCTCCAGTATGCTGGCCTGGAGAATTCCATGACTATATGTCCATGGGGATAGCAATGAGTTGGACACAACTGAGTGAACTTCACACACTAACAGACTTGTAAGCTATTAAAAATGGCTGATTAAATAAAGGCAGGTGATATGGTTCTAAATACACAATTACTGGAAACTAGTAGAGCATGTAACATAGAACTGCAATATATATAGGCATGGAGGCAAATACTGGGTCATATCTACTCAGTTAGAAGGGAACAAGGTTTAGAAAAATCAGAGATGCCATACGAAAAAAGCACATAAAAGACACAAACAAAATATACTTCTTCAGCATGTTAAAAACAATCACATCAAAAAAAGTATACAGATAAAAAATGTCATAGATGACATAAGAAAATAGTGTGTGTGTGTATATATTTTTTGCATATATATATATATATATATAAATCTACAGTATTTACCACTGTTGATATATATATATTTTGAAGCAGCTCTGATGCTGCTATCATAAACTAAATTGTACAGCTTGGATTATTACAAGTCACAGAATCATGGTTTAAAATTGGAGTTCACATCCCCAGCTACATTTTTATATACATTTATTTCTCAGCTTCCACATGATCTCAATCAGGAGCCGTGTGGTATTTGGATTTTGTCAGAGTTTCTGTGCAGTGCTCAGCTGCTAACACACTGCATTTGTTTTGCCCTTTAATAACATCATTAACAAGTTGATTAAAATTACATTAGACTCATTATATACATAAAAAATATTGTCACATTCACTAGCTAAACAAATGTTACTCTCATTTTAAAACATATACTTCTGTACCTTGAAAGCTTAAAAGCCCCAACTTACAAGAACAATCAATGTTAGCTTTTCTGTTCTCTACTGTTCGAACAAGAGCAAAGTGAGGGTGAAAACAAGCTCTCCAGTGAAACCCAAAGACATACTTTCTTGGAGCGCCCAAAACTTGGTTGCCGTTTTGGTCATTGTAGTGTAAAAGAACATTCTGAAAGACATTGCTGATTTGTTACCATGAAACTGAAACAACCAACCAAAAAAAGATTTCTGAAAATATGATAGCCATGCTATTAAAAAAAAAAAAGGACCAAAATCTGAGATTCCTAGTAATAATTAGAATCGTTTTCTACAATTTTACAAAGCAATAATTTAATGGCCTAAGAGCAGCAATATCCACTGACTACATTCTTTAAAGGAAGAGGGCCAGGAAAAGACCATGTAAGTATCACCCTGCCCTTTGTAGGGAGGTTTCACGGGAATTTAAGGGACAGAAGTAAGAAAGGACCATATTGTTAACCCTGCTTTCAAATGAATTTCAGAGCAGTTGGTTCTGCTGTGAGTGACTGATGATTGGTAACTTGCAACTTCAGCCGGCATCCACTGGAGAGTTATGCGCACACTCTCTGGGCGTCTGGCAAGCATACTCTGCTCTGAGCTTTACAGGAGTCAGACCAGAAAAAGGCAGAGACACACGAAAGCTGGTTTCTCTGTGAGCACGGACACACTGCGTGCTGCACTTCTGAAAACAAAACTTAAACTGCACTGGTTTTTTAAGCACCATTAACTGGTTAGCCTTCCTCTCCAATGTCTTTTTCAGATTGAAAACTGAATGAGAAAGCTGAGCATTCCATGAGACGCCGAATTAAGTCAGGTCAAACCCTCAAGTCAGTTTAGGACCTGGGTTAAAAATACAAGGGGGCGGGGGGGTGGTGGACAAAACTTGACTAAAAGGTAAGTTAGGGAAAAGAAGAATAAATTATTCCATAGATCTACATTGAAAGATCTTTTCTTCAAACATTTTTTTAGTTCTGTGTTTGACTGTATATGGGTAGATGCCTATATAGTAGCTATTAAAAAACACCATACACTAGGTAGAGCCTTAAAAATACCTATTCTACTGCTTTTCAGTGCTTTGTAACATTACTCAAAATAGAATGGGCTAAGAGAGTACAAATATTCAGATTTTGGAGAAAGATATAAATGAAACTGTGCGTGCATCCCTAAATGCTATTGCTATATTTCCAGGTTAAATTCCTTTTAATGGGTTCACTGATGATGCACGTTAAAAGCTCATCGTTAGGCAGCATCTAGGTGGGGATGAAATCACTTCCATATATTCTTATTACTGACATACATGAGAACTGTGCGAGTTCTTTACAATTGTATAAAATACTGCTTTGGCAATTATAAATGTAGCAATTCAGGTCTCATACGGTTTCTATTCTCTTGTCTGCAGCAAGGACAGATGAATTCTTACAGCAATACTGACTCCTGAATAGACAGTCCATCCCGATTTCTGTAGTGATACGCTGGAGGTGAGGGCCCTGAATACTGAAACCCGGGTGAAGTGGCGTCTTCCAGAGCTGGGGAAGTTCTATACCGCACTGGACCATCTACGGAGACTGCGGGGAGGGCGTGGTCCTGATAGGGGGTGTGGTGAAACGTGGGGTGTCTTGGGAAACTGCTCAAGTGGCCACGGTTGACATCTCTTGTCCACGGCTGTCCGTGCATCTCTGGTCTCCACGTGTAACCAACTTCTGACCATTTTCTGTTATCTGGCAATCCATCCCCTGGAGGAAGGATGAATTTCCCATTCTTTGGGGACCCTGAATTGCCCGAATATCCGCCGGCACCAAGATCAACAGGGAGAACTTCTATGCGACTCGACGGCTGGACCAGAGGAGTCGGGCGGCTGTGAGATTTCTCTGGAGAAGCGCTGACTGGAAGCGCGGAGCCGTAAGGTCTCCGGGAGGGATTCGTGTGCGCCCCAGGGGGGAACGGGAAGCTGCTGTTGGCGGCGGGGACCCGTTTTGGAGAGCTGCCCTGGTAGGTGGGGGGGTTACTGTACACAGGGGGGTGCGCAGCCCCGCGGTCTTCCCCGTCTGGCAGAAACGGGTGCGGGGCGAAACTCGTAGGCAGGACTTTGAACGCGAACTTGGGCGGGGCCCTGGACGGGCTGGCGCCGGGTTCGGAGGGCCTCCGGGGGCTCTGCGCCCGCGCGCGCTCCAGCGCCTCCTCCACAGCGCCGCCCGGACCGTCCTCGGGCACGTTGTCGTACTGCGAGGCGGTGGAGCCGCGCTTGCCCTCCTCTGCGTCCAGCACCTTCGTCTGCTGCCTCACGTGTGGGGCCCGCGGGTCGGCGAGCGCGGGTGGTGCGGCCCGGCTCCGGCCTTCCACGGCGGGCCTGGTGGTCTTCTCCAGAACCGCAGCCTCGGAAGGCTTGTGCCATCGGGGCGCGAACTCCTTCCGCGCGCGCGAGGTGGCGTTGCTGTTCTGATTGGCCGCCGCGTGGTTGTACTGCCCGGAGCCGTCCTGGGCGGCCGGCGGGAGTCTCCTCTGCGCCTGCGCCTCAGCCTCGTCGCGAAGCCTCTTACCCTCCTCGTCCGACGGCTTCCGCCGCTGCTGCCTCGCCCTCTCTGGGGTGCCGGTCCGGCGTGGGTGGGGCGGGGAAGGGTCGTGGGTCTTGTGGGGCGAGCCGCTGCCTCTCCGACCGCCAGGGTGAGGACTCGACCTGCCCACGCTCCTCTGTCCGTTGCTCAGGTGAGTGACACCAGCCGACTGACCTTCAGGGGGAAGCTGCCCCAAAGGTTTCTTTGGAAATTCATCCTCTTTGCCTAAAGGGAAAGACACATTCATAAGTGCCATATGTGCATGAGCAAACAGTACCAAACCTAAGACCTGCATGAATGAATGAATTACTGCTTACTCTTCACATGTGCACTCAACATGCATACCTGCACATAGACATGCAGTATTTTAGTATTAGAAGCATTTTTTTAGTGATTGACACGAAAACATTCCAAAACTCACAAGTCTTATTAGGCAATGTACAGATGGGAAGATTTTATATAACCTTATATGAATAGTAAGAAAAAGTGATAGTGACTCCATAGTGGCCCACTCTTTGGGACTCCATGGACTGTATAGCCCATCAGGTTCCTCTGTCCATGAGATTTCCCAGGCAAGAATACTGGAGTGGGTAGCCATTCCCTTCTCCAGGGAATCTTTTGGACCGTCAGATCAAAGCTGGCTCTCCTGCACTGCAGGCAGATTCTTTACGATCTGAGCCAACAGGAAAGCCCCATGATAAAGGTCACAGAATCGTGTAAGATGATTCTTAAATTTTGTTAAGCTGTATGATTACCTGCTTTTTCAAAAATGCAAAGCTGATATTCTCATTTCTATTCCTGAAACAGTCTTACAGGTCAGTAGTTCAATGTCTTACCATTACATTCCTTCCACTTAAGCATTCCTCAACTAAAAGAATTTAGAATCTCAGTAAAATAGTTTCTATCAACTTCAAGCAAGTCTGCCAAGTTTAAAGGTCAAGTGATGACCAGTTGTGGCTCCAAGTTGTACCCAAATAGCTCATTATTATTCTCTCAAGTAACTCCACAGGATAAAAATAAACAATATTCTGTACTTCCAAATTAATATTCTAACAAGGTCCTACTTTAAATGTAAAAAAAAAAGGA